CACACACACACACACACACACACACACACACACACACACACACAATACACACTCACACACACACACACAATACACACTCACACAACACGTGCGCACACACACACTTTCTCCCTAGGTACTACAATGTGACGGATCGAGAGTTGTTGCGCGCGGATCGCGCAGTGGGCAACACGCTGGAGCAGATGCCAGTGTTCCTGACGCTGTATTGGCTGGCCATCTTCGCCAGCTCTATCAAGAACACTGGAACTGGCACACCCTCTTCTGTCGCCCTCAGCGGCTACGTGTATGTGCTGGGGCGCCTCCTGTACCTGCCACTGTGGCTCATCTCAGGCAGCTCCCCGCGCGGCCTCCACCCGATGGTGCTCATCTCCACAGTGCCCTGCTACCTCGTGCAAATCTTCTGCGCCCTGGCCCTCTTCAACGCAGTGCAGCAGTGACCTCGCCCCCCCCCCCTCGCACCCCACACAACTGCAGCCCTGTCGTCCCAGTCGTCTTATGCTGTTCCTTTCACCCTTGTTGTGCTGCCGCAGTGATTCTCGACTCCAACTGTAGTGCTCTTGGCTCCTGCTACAGTGGTTCCTTGACTCTTGTTGTAGAACAGGTGGGAGTAAATTGACGCTACGCAGGTTCATGTAATGTAACAGCAAAGCGAGTGATGTCCAAGCTGGCGAAAGCACTGAAACAACACATCTACACCCCAACATGAAAGCCACTAGCGACAACTCAAGGACACACTAGCCTTCGTTCGATGTCATGCTGTTGCATGAGACCAAACACACACTGCGCAAACCGCAGCCACTAAAGAGCAAGAAAGCGACAATCTAGCGAGCTAGTAGGTGCAGTTAAATGGCGACAGTAGGGAGGGGTGCTGTGACATGTCGGTGTAAAACGAGGGGTAGAGGCGAGCGCGCGTGACATGCCACAGCGCTTGCACGCGTGTACGCAGCTCCCCATCTGTAATCTCACTGTCCATCCGCTGCAACCAGGCGCGGTACAGTGCAGCGTATCCAAAGTGCTCCAGCAGCGGCAGGCTGGCCGTGTGGCGCAGGGCGGCCTCGATATCCGACCGTGCATACTGCGCCCATGCCATGGCAAAGTGCTCCTCAGAGGCACGGGACTTGTCCTTCGGGCGCGGCCGTAACCGCGGCTGGTCCAGTGCAAAGCACACGTCTGCCCCAGACAGCCGTCGTGCCGTCCACAGCCCGCTCTGCTCCAGGATGAACCCAAGCAGCGGCTCCCGCAGCGCCACCATGTCTTCAAACCGGTACATGATCTTCCTGCTCCCCCTTTGGTTTGTTGGGGTGTTGTGGTTGTGTGTGTGTGTGTGTGAGGGGGGGGGGAGAGCACTTGCGGTTTCACCAAAGAGCGCGTTCGTGGGGCTGCAGTCAAAGAGAGAAAAAACACATACACACACACACACATAAACACACGCACATACACACACACGCACACACACACACGCACGCACGCACGCATACACACACACATACACACACATACACACACGCACATACACACACGCACACACACACACACACGCACACACACACACACTAACATCGTATTTAAAAAACTGATAGTGGCCCTATCTAGTCGTGTTTGCGATCGAGTCAACAGCAGGTTTAGGTGACCCCAGGGGGCGATGTATGAGGTAAAACCAGTATGCTACACCTATGATATAGCGTGGTGCATAGTGAGGTAACCATCAGGCCGGAATAGTACTGCATAGCCGAGTTAGGATGCCGTCATATGTGGCGGGTATGACACTGTTCTCAGAAAAACTGTTGGCGAACCGGCCTATCCCATCTTGAGCTTAGTGACGCGTAGAGCTCACTCAGGACAGACTGCGTTGGAAGGACAACGTAAGTCCCATTCTAGCTCGCTCTCCTTCCACACGCCACGGTGTCAAGCCACCTACTCGTATGGTGTGCGTGTGTGTGTCGTGTGTCGTGTGTGTGTGTGTGTGTGTGTGTGTGTGTGTGTGTGTGTGTGTGTGTGTGTGTGTGTGCGCATCTTTCAGGTACAACGCACGCACGCTGGAGGTTCTGTCCAGCTCACACTTTCTCCCGTCATCAACCTTCTCTCCCAACCATGTGCTCACCAGTGGGTTGCGAATGGGCAGCAGAAGCACTGCACCAACACCGGCATCGGAGATGAGCACGCCTTGCTCCGCGTGCCGACTCGACAGGAACGGTGCGTGCGTCTTCACTAAGCGCATGACCCTGTGAACAAGCGCAAAATCAAGGGGATGTGTGCACGACATACTTGTGAACGGAGACACAAGCACGTGCAAGCACCAACACAAGCACACACACAAACACACACACACACACATGGAAATACACCGCCTTCCCTCCTCCTCTCTGTTACGTTCACCAACCCTGGCTGTGGCAGTGATACACGGGTGCAATAGTTGCTTCTGCCGCAAGGATAACCGTACACATCTGAACCAGGGATGTGGTCTGCATGGATTTCCTCATCTTCGCCAACGCCGTTGAGCGGCGCCTTGTACCTGCGCAGCAGACAACAATCAGTGCAGGTTGTGAACACTCTCATCAAAAACATGACAGCATGCCAGATGAACAGTCGCAAAGAGCAAGCATGACACAGCAGCCGTCTCACAAGCACCACACACACACACACACGCACAACGCACACACAACGCACACACAACGCGCGCACACACAACAGCACCACACACCACACACCACACAACAACACAAACTACACAATACACTCACCCTTCAGGAAATACGGTCTCCGTGGCCAGGCCACACGAGAGCTCCAATAGCTGGCGCATCCAGCTGTTCCCGGAGCGTGGGATGGATGCCAAGATCAACCGGGGTGCGGTGATCTCCGCAAGCAGCTCTGACGGTACGGCCTCGCATTCGCACTCCTGGCAGCCTGCCGGCAGCCTATCAATCCACAAACAGAGGCGCAATCGCAAGCATGAGCACAGGGGTTGTGGCAGTGGTGGTCGTGGTCGTGGTGGTGGTGGTGATGATGATGATGATGATGAGAGCAGGAGGCACATCAACCGCAACAAGCGTGCATGCATGCACACACACACATTTGTGCATACATATCGCACAACAACCGCACGTTCAATCATCCTTACAAACACACATACACACACGCACAACAACCGCACGTTCACCCATCCTACAGGCACACACACACACATAGACACGCACGCACACACCTGTCGAGTGGAGTGCTGCCGACGTCCATGTTGCCAGCGCCACAGAACGCCGTCGCCTTTGAGGGTCCTCGGAGGACACAGGCGTGCAGCGCCTCGCACACACACACGAACTCGCCCGTCACAGGGTCCACGACGGTCTGCGTGTGCTCCTTGGCCTGGCAGGCCAGCGCAGATGCCACTGGCGTTGGTGGCGTCAGTATCAGGTACACAAAGGCAATGGCCAACGCCATGCCACCGGCAACGCGCGCCGCTGCCATTACGAGTGTGCTTGCCGCTGAAAGTTCCCCACGACGGTCACCACCACGGACCGGCTCTTCTGTTGGGTGCTGCAGTCGTGAGTGTGAGTGCAACCGTGATCTTGCGCCGATGCGCGATGTGCTTCTCCTCGATTCCCCTGCCCGTGCTTCTTCCTCCACAACATTCGCCTGTGATGCTGTTGGTGCTGTTGGTGCTGTTGGTGCCGTTCCTTGTGTTGCTGGCGTATGCGTTTTGTTCATTCCTCTCTCACTTCCACTCGTCTCTTCTGCTGCGAACATGTGGTGCTGCCCTGTTCACCGCCCTTCGCACCATCCCACAAGCACACCACAAGCACACCACAAGCACACCACCCGCAACGGACGCAGCGCCGTTTTTCCGTTGTGCGCGGAAGGACGAAAGGCAATTTTGCCTTTGTGTTGTCGAACAGAATAATGAGCAGGAAGCGAATGAAGGGTGATGATGATGGTGGTGGTGACGGTGGTGACGGTGGTGGTGGCAACTACAGCGGGAATGCACGACCAACCGGACGAGAGCAACAACAACAACAACAACAACAACAACAACAACAACCACAACAACCACAACAACTACAACAACAACAACAACAACAACTTAAACAACAACAACAACAACAACAACAACAGCAACAACAACAACAACAACAACAACAACAACAACAACAACAACAACAACAACAACAACAACAACAACAACAACAACAACAACAACAGCGAGAAGCATTGTTCTTGAAGGAACCACACAAGCACCGGTGGTCGTTGATGCTGTATGGATTGACGCTGCACCTGTGCTCAACCACGTTTGTGAAGATTGTGCAGCTGTATGTGATCAACTCGTTGAATCGCACGCCGGAGGAGTACGCGAGCCAGATCTTCAGCCTGCGGTACTGGGCAATCTTCGCGTGCGTCACCGTCGTCAGCCCGTTCGGCTCCATGTTTGCCGCTGCGCGTGTCCTGCGCTGGGCAGGCCCTGTCACCGCCGTGATCGCCGCCTGCATGGCGTTTGCGCCGTACACGCTGTTCCGCTACCTGAGCGCTGCTGGCGGCGCGTCGTCGTCCGTGGCAATGGTGTTCCTCAACGCCCTCATCCAGCGCGCCTCGTACGGGAACACAGACATCAAGGTGCGCCTCAACATGGAGTACCGCATCTTGGCTGCAACGTGCGAGGTCTTCTTCCCTTGGTTCGTGACGAGCGTGCTCGTCCCACTCTTGTCACCGGCCGGCTACCCTGCGGCATTCCTCTTCTCTGGAATGGCCATGGCGCTCTCCTCGCTCCTGCTTGATCGCCGCTTCGAGCTGCTGCACACGCCAACCACAAGCCCTGACACGGACAAGGCTGCGAGCAGTTCGGGCAGCAGCAGCAGCAGCAGTGACGACGACGACAACAACAACAACAACAACAACAACAACAACAACAACAACAACAACAACAACAACAACAACAACAAGGGCAGGGGCGGTTTGGGCAGCAGCAGTGATGACAGAAGCACTCTTAGCACAGGCAGTGCCAGGGCTGGTACCACCATGGCTACAAACAGCAGCAGCAGCAACAGCAGCAACAGCAGCAGCAGCAATAAAAGTGGCCTGTCATGGTGGCGGCGGGGTGTCTCGGGCATCGACACGCTTGTGTCGCCGTTTCGCGTCGTGCTGACAACACCATCAGCCATCTTCACGCTCCTGTGCATGCACAGCATGATGCTGCCGACCCACGGCGTGGACACGTTTGCCATGAGCCAGTTCAAGGCGCTGGGGGCAACGCCGTCTTTTGTCGGCCGCACGCTTGCCGTGGCTGCCAGCGTGGGCATTGGTGCGCTTGCTGCGGCCCAGCACGTCGTGCCGTGGCTCTCGGCGCCGATTGCGCTGTCCCTCATCCGCTTCACCAGCGGCCTCGCCATGTTCGGCATGGGCAGCGCTGCCACGCCGCTCCAGTTTGCAGGCCTGTATGTCTTGCACACGGTGGTGGGGAAGGTTGCCCCCGTCACCAACTCCATGTGGCTCTCACTGGCTGTGCCACAGGCCTGCCTGCCCTCGATGTTTGCTGTTGAGAAGGCAACTGGCACCGCGCTGCGTGCCTTGCTCAGCATTGTCTTTGCCTGGCTTGTGGCGCGCGTGGGCATCCCCAGCCTCCTTCGTGGCTGCTCCCTCTGGCTCCTCGCCGTCTGCCCCATATGCATTGCCCTCATCATCATCGCCAACCGCAGACACAAGGCCAGCAGCAAGCCCAAGACTGCTTGAGCGCGCTTGTCTGTGGAAGGGGGGACGTGTGTGTCTTTGTATGTACGTGTGTGTGTGTGTGTGTGTGTGTGTGTGTGTGTGTGTGTGTGTGTGTGTGTGTGTGTGTGTGTGTGTGTGTGTGTATGTGTGTGTGTGTGTGTGTGTGTGTGTGTGTGCGTGTGTTTGTGTTCGTCTGTCTGTCTGTCTGTCTGTCTGTCTGTGCGTGCGTGTGCTCCTCCCCTCCTCATGACTGCCTTCCTTTTCTCCGCCCCCCTCTTTGGCCAGGCTGCGTGCACACACCGCCGTGTGCTCCACTATCCCCGTGTTATCTATGTGTGCGCGGTTTGCCATCACTGTTCCTTTCTTCCCCGTCAAGCTAGGCTACGTCCGTCTGTCTGTCTATGTGTGTGTGTGTGTGTGTGTGTGTCTTTGTATGTACTTGTGTGTGTTTGTGTCTGTCTGTCTGTCTGTCTGTGCGTGTGCTCCTCCCCTCCTCGTGACTGCCTTCCTTTTCTCCGCCCCCTCTTTGGCCAGGCTGCGTGCACACACCGCCGTGTGCTCCACTATCCCCGTGTTATCTATGTGTGCGTGGTTTGCCATCACTGTTCCTTTCTTCCCCGTCAAGCTAGGCTACGTCCGTCTGTCTGTCTATGTGTCTGTGTCTGTGTCTGTGTGTGTGTGTGTGCCTGTGTCTGTGTGTGGGTCTGCACCTGCACTGTGTTGTGTCGTCGCGCGGTAGCCGATGTCACAGCCGCATCTGGTTTCGTGCTTGTCGTACACATCCTGACGAAAACAAGAAAACAGACCACCACCAAGAAAGCAAAAAGCAAGCAAGCAAAATAATTTTTTCACGCGCAGTGGGGCTGGTGAGATGGACGACAGACAGCGTCATCGGTCGCACGACCGTGAGTACCGTGGCCTGCTCCCGCCACCGCACTCCGCCTCCTCAAAGCGCTCCTACGAAGACCGTGCCGCATCCGATCGTCGGTATGACAACAACCGAGGCTATCGACCGCGCCACCACGAACGCGTCAGCAGCACGCCGCCCTCTTGTGCACGTCACGCACCACACGCAACACCCACCTTGTCGTCGTCTTCCCGCTCGGCTGCGCCTCTGCCACGGAGTGCCATTCGAAACCACGGCAAGCTCGGGTACTTCTTCCGCGGCCTTGACCCATCCATCCGCAGAAACTTGGTGCTGGACAACGAGGCGCTCTATTCGGTGTCGGAGTCTGGCAGCGCCGATGCCATGACCTGGGTGCTGCGGTGTTTTGTTGGCGAGGATGAGCCCGTTCTGGATGGCACGGCGTGTGTCGGTGGCAACACTTACAGCTTGCAGAAGGTGTTTCCACACACGTATGCAACGGAGATTGACGCAGATCGCTTCGTCATGTTGCAGCACAACCTGCACGTCCTCGGCTGCGCTGACCGTGTACGTGCAAGGCAGGGTGACATTGTCAAGTTCGTACAAGACGTTCCCGCGGACAGTGGACGCACAGCACCTACCCACCGCCACCACCAGCAACAACGACAACACCAGCGAGAACAACAACAGCAACATACGCATCCCACCGCAGCCATGACACCCAGTACCACTGGTGGGGATCTCCGATCGCTCATTGAGCGTCGTCGTGCGCACACCAACGATCACGAAGAAGGCAGTGAAGATGATACGCTCCCACGTAAGCGTGCGCACAGAGAAACGGAGACAGCCACGGCAGAAGAAACGGCACAAGCAACGGCAGACACCACAGCTGAGACGCGCACACTGGCCAGGGACAAGCATGGATGGCCCACCTACTTTGGCGCAATCATGGTGGATCCACCATGGGGTGGTGTTGACTACAGAGACAAGCGGTGCATGGATTTGTCACTGTCAGAGGTGTATCTGGAGCGCTGGGTTCGCATGGCAGCGTCCCGTGCACGCGTGGTCATGTGCAAGGTGCCCAGCAACTACAACAGCAATGCCTTCAACGAGGAGATGGTGAACATGGCGCTGCGAGCCGATCCGGGCCCTCGCCCGCGTGCCATCGTGCACATCGAACTGGCAAAGTTTGACGTGATTGTCGTCTTATTTGACCACACGTCTGACATCACGCCTGGCATGCCGGCCTCTTGGTCGCAGCCAGTGGCGGTACCTCACATTGATGACCTCAAACGCCGCCTCGGTGCTCTGTACCCTTCTTGGACAGGCACCATTGCTGGCATAGTCGTGAAGGAGCTGGGCTGGGTGCGTGGCTGGGTGTCAACCCAAGACACCGTTAGTAACGATGGCGTGCGCCGTCTTCGCAGTCGCAAGTGATCGGCGTTGCGTGTGTGTGTGTGTGTGTGTGTGTGTCTGTCTGTCTGTCTGTCTGTCTGTCTGTCTGTGTCTGTGTCTGCAGTTGTATGTGTGTGTGTGTGCCTGTCTGTGTCTGTGTGTCTGTGTGTGTCTGTGTGTGTGTGTGTGTTCGCCTGTGTGTTCGCCTGTGTCTGTGTGTCTGTCTGTGTGTCTGTGTCTGTGTCTGCGGTTGTATGTGTGTGTGTGTGTGCCTGTCTGTGTCTGCAGTTGAATGTGTGTCCCCTCGTGTCCATGCGAGCCCATCTGTCTGTGTGTGTGTGTGTGTGCATGTCCTTGTCTTCCCGTGAACGTGTGTTCTGCTGTGCGTTCTTCTGCCACCGTTCGCATCCTCTCTTTGACTTCTTGTGAGGGTTTGCTCTGATCGCTGTATTGCCGTGTGTGGCGGTGACAACACCAAACGTAACAGTTGCACGTGAATACGGCACTTCAACGCACACCCGCAAGCGCACGCACGCGCGCAGGTGCATGCGCAACACAAAGCCAACACAAAGGTAACAAATCACAAGAGGTGTGGGCATACGGGCGGAGCGCAATCAGAGAGAGGCACCGGCCAGGTCGGAGGCAAGGCTGTCGACGTCGGTGTCACCATTACCGTTGTTCTGCTTGCTGCTCTGCTGTGCCTTGTCGGCGTCCTTGTCTTCCTCTTTGGCGACACCTGGGCCATTGTTCACCATCACGCCCGTGTAAAAGTTGACTTGCTGACGCTCCTCTTGGTTGACGGACATGAAGTGGCGCTGCTCACCAATGACGGGCTCACTGAGAGCAGCGAGGGTGGGCTGCTCCGACGTGCTGTCCAGGGCCTGGTGCAGAACGTCTGCTGCCAGGCCGCCTTCGGCCTGGGCGCGCTTCACGGCAGCACGCTTTGGGTCATCATCCTCTCGCCTGTTTCCGAAGCCGACACAGCCAACAACGTCGCACGTGAAATACCCGTACGCCGGCGCTGGCGCCTCGACAATCGACACGAGCACGTTGTCCGCGCTCTCCTCGGCCCATGCCAGGATGTGCCCAGCAGCGGCCGGCAGATAGTCTGCGCGGAAAAAGAAGTTGACCGCAGCACCGACCAGGAAGAGGGCATCGCCGAATCGTGGACGCTTGCCATGCTGCTGACCCCGCCGTGCGGCCATGTAGCGCTCGGCAACGACCTCGTCAGGGACAAGGCGCGCCACCTTCACGCAGAAGGCGTCCAGCTTGCGCTCCGTGGTTTCGGCGTCTTCGTGGCTTGCCGGGAGCGTGCGCAGCGTTTCGTTTGGCACTACAATCAGCCGGTCGCCCTTGCGTGTCAGATTGGTGGCAGTTTGCACATCACACAGCAGCACGAACGCTGCCGAGCGACGCAGTCGCGGCTGCCGGCCGCCTTGCTGATTGTAACGCCGCTGCTGTTGCTGCTGGCCACGCCCTCCCCTGCGATCACCGCCACTGCGGTCCCCGCGACGGCCGCCACCGCCACCACTACCGCCACCGCTTCTCCAGCCGCCGCCGTTGTCGCGCGGGCGGCCGCCGAAGGCTGGATGCTGCCAACGTCCCTCACGATCGCCCATGGTCTGTGATTCTCGTGGCTGTCTGGCTGGCTGGCTGGCTGTCTGCCTGTCTTGTTGTTATCAGCTATGGCTCTGTGGCTGAGTCAATCCAAAACCCAAATGATGGACACACACAACCACAGCGAAACAAAACAACCCAGCAGAAGACGATGTGCGGACAGTTGTCAACTTGTGATGTCGCATTCCATGATTCGCTCCGACACGACAGACAAAAAAGCAGCGGAACGCTTGCGAGTGTTTCGCGACTTCAGCACGCGTTTTGTTTTCGAAATGCGCCACTTCCTCACTTTCAGTTTTCAAAAAAGTTCGAAGGTTGATGTGCTTGAGCGTTGTGGGGTTGGGTCGTTCTGTCGTTTGGTTCTTTCCTTCTTGCGTTGTGGCGTTCCAGAGTGGTCGTGAGTTCCACTTCCCTGACTTCCCTGACTTCCCTGACTGCCCTTGTCGGCGCTTGTTGGTTTCTGTGGTGGACACACTTCCGGGAATGTTTTGAACCAACCACACGCACACCCTGCATCGCGAAAACAATTTGCTTGGGACAGCTGCTTGGGGACGAACGCTGTCGTTGTTGTTCTTCTCGTTGTCTGTTGACGCAAGGCAAGTGGCACGGTGCAAGCGCGTTCGCTCGCCTGTCCTTGGTTTCTGCTGCGCTGCATTAGCATTGTTGCGTCCCCGACTTGCGATTTGCGCGTGCGCTGAGTGACATGTGTGACCATGACGCACACATTTCACATTTCTGTTTGGTTTCGGTTCTTCGTCCGTGAAGTCGCTCGTGAGGTCTTGCATCAACAAAACAGCAACGGCAGTGCCTTGCCTTCCTTCTGCTTGCGGTGTCTCCGTTTGCGGTGCTGCTTGCCTCCCTCCTCCCTTCTTCGAGTTGCCTGCCCACCCCGCTCAGTATGCAATGTATGCCCTGCCCCTCCTCCCCATTACTTCATTTTCCGTGTTGCAAGTCTTGCGCCAACTCCACCTCCTGTTCCTGGAACTGAGTTTCGGCATGTGCTCGTCCGTTGCTGTTGGCGGTTGTAAACGCAGGGCAGGGCAGACACTGCGCGCATATGGATGCAATCACAGCACACCAGCATGCTGTCGCCGTCTGTTCTTCGTTTGAAGCCCGAGGACCTCAACCACCGCACTGCGTGAGCATGCTTGTGAACGCTGACATGAAACAGGTATTGTTCCCATGTTCATTTACTCAGCTGCTGTCGCGCCATTCCGCACAAAGGACCAACTCCGCCCTTTCCCCCTCCCCAACACACACGCATACCCACACACCACACCAAGACCCCGCAGCCACAGCACAGAAGCCAATTGTTCACCTTACCGATACCCTTTGTGTCTCCTTCGTGTCCCCATTGTGCTTGCGGAACAGAGGCCCCCTTCATCTCCGCACCTCTTTCCGCGCCATCTCGTCAGCCACTCACCTGAAAGCAGAAGACAGGCCCACAAGCGGCAACCGCAGCGCACAAGCGACATCTCTCTCGCTCGGAGCACATGCTGCCATCGCCATCGCAGACCCACATGATCGCGCGAACAATGGCCATCACGTCCACTACAGCAGCAGTCGGGCAGGCATCCGTGTCGCTGAGAACAAAGGACGACAACGTGGCAAGCGAAGACTGGCAGGGTCAGGCGCACTTGAGGCGGAGACCAAGCAACCCAACACCATGCACTGCAGCGTCACTTTCGTGGCACCCACTGTCTTCTCCACCCTCCATCACATCACCAGCGCCTGCGGACTTGCCCACACCATCACCAGCGTTGCGTTATCCAGTGGTCCCATGCCCGCGTCAACAGCCACCAACAGCTTTGCGTCCCGCCAACATCATGTCCACAACTACTCGACCAACGCTTGCGCGTCGCCGCGGCGTGCCGTCGCTCTCCGTGAGCCTGCCGTGTGCTCTCATTACCAACGACGAGGACCTGCGCGAGGAAGTCTTCACGCCGGCCTCACTCGACGCCCTGTTTGACAGCGGCAGCGTCTCCAACTCCTGCTCCCCGCACATGGAGCGGGGCTACGCACGCCCGCCGGGGCCAGCGCGCTGCAGCAGCGAGCGTGACAGCGGCAACGCATCCCTCGCATCGTCGACCGACGAACATGATGACGAAGGTCCCGTCACTATGGTGAATAGCACACGCTTGTACACATGCAACACCCGCGACCTCTGCCAGACAACTGCTAACTCCTCTCGCACCAGCGACGCACTCGGCACAGCCACTGCTGCACACTTCCCACGGCAACAACAACAACAACAACAACAACAACGGCAACAACAACAACAACGGCAACAACAACAACAACAACAACAACAGCAGCAACAACAACAACAACAACAACAACAACAACAACAACAACAACAACAACAACAACAACAACAACAACAACAGCAGCAGCAGCAGCAGCAGCAATGGCAGCCATATTCTGATGATCCGCATCAACAGCAAGAACAACACAGGGCGAGACCGGTGCTCCTGAAGTGTTGTCAACACGACCCAATTACACCAGCCGCAACCATCGCTGCACAACATTTCCCGACACCTTTCCACGCAACCACAACCACAACCACACACCCTTTCCAAGCACAGTCGAAATGCTAGTTTCGTGCATGCCCGTGTGTTTGTTTGCCTGCATGCATGTACAGTCATACCGATAGATGATGCCCTTGTTATTTCTCGCTCGTAAGCGAACACATGCTCTACTACTATGCGACTTCTTACTTTCTCTACGCCAACGCCACATAACTGTACCGTCACCGATGCATTTGATTGCCACCATCGCTTATTGCGACCATTGAAGGCCAAGCAAGACTTGCTTCATCATTACACGATCCAAACCCACACATGTTCGACACTGTAAGAAGCAGCACATGTACAAGAGGGAGGGACTTGCACATGTGACGAGACATTAACCACCCGCGCATCACACACACACACACATGCTTGAGCGTTCACGCTGATGTCTTCTTGGCGCGTTTTGCTGTGTTGGCACCAGCACCACCAGCTCCGCGCTTGCTGCGACTCGATGCCTGCTTGAGTGTCGGCTGCGACGATGCTGTTGTTTGGTGTAAACCACAATGTATGTGTGTGTGTGTGTATGTGGAGGTGGTGAGGACGGCAACGGTTGTATAAAGTGCCATGGTCTCCAGTTCCCGCCCCCCCCACACGTACACACACACATACACGTTCACATACTTACATGTACGCATACACAGAGCACGCTACACATGGACAGCACGCAACGCAACGCACACCACACACACACACACACACACACACACACACACACACACACACACACACACACACACACACACACACACACACACACACACACACACACACACACAGAACACACCTTGTCCATTGACTTCCGCAGCGTTTGCAACCGCCTGTGGGAAGCGGGAAACGAAGCGAGCGACATCGAACTTGCGCTTGCATCCCTTGTAGTTCATGTACCTGGAAACACGCACAACGCAGGGGCATCGGGCATCCAGTGAACGTGGTGTGAAACAAAGCCACAATGATGGCGGCAGTGGTGATGGGATTGGCATAAGCGACATCTGTGTGTGCATGTGCACTTTCTTGTGGTTGGCTGCCAAGCCGTTGTGTGACCGTCATCACCGACCACGGACCTGATTTTGCCAAACACGGCGCGCTCTGCCCAGCCCTGGTCGTGGATACCAGCAATGGACCACATGCACCCCACGTAGCCTGAAACCACCAATGCAGGTGGAGGAGGAGGAGGTGGCGGTGATGACGGGTGAAGGGAAGCTGGCGGAGCACAGTGTTGTGTCATGGGCACACGGCATACAACAAGCACGTGCATTCCACGCAACATACAATTCACACGATGACACACGCACAATGACACACACACACACACACACGATGACACACACATACACGATGACACACACACACACACACACACACACACACACACACACACACACACACGCACAATGACACACACACACACACACACACACACACAGAGCGACACAACCGATGCTGGACACGCCCCACACAAGAACAAACCAACGACAACAACACCACAATGACAAAACCCACACCGCCACCGTGCCCTACCAGCACCGCCTCAACTGCCATCACTGCCGCCACCACACCGTTTGGGTCGCGGCCATCGAGCTCGTATCTGTCGTTGAGAAAGAGCGCTGTCTGCAGCGCGTCCTCGGGCGTTGCTGTCCACTCCAGGATCTTCTTCGCCCAGTACATGCGCAGAAACCCGTGCATCTTGCCTCGCTCAACCATCTGTGCGCAGATAGGGACACACATGTGAACGGTGATGGCAGTGGGGGGGGGGACAGGGAGCAAAGAGCGATGTGAGTGGTGTATGTGCGTGCGCGTTTCTGCAGGTGAGCGAGTGAGTGAGCGAGTATTGACATATGGCGTCACAGTCTCGTTCATACACACACACTCACTCTCTCTCTCGCGCACACGTGCACACACATACACACTGTCTCTCCTATTCACGGCATTATGTCACGCAAGTTCGCGTTACGCACTCTCCTATCCAGCCTGAATCTCACCCACCTGGAGCTGAGCTGCGTTCCAGAGGTCGTCGTGCGTCTTGCCTTGTTCGAGTTGCTCGCGTGTGTACACATACTCCCTGCAGGGCGCCCGTGCCAACACACCAGTATGAGGTGGTGTTCCAAGCACACTGCGGCACAGTTGCGATCTTCGTACCCGCGTACGTACACACACACACACACGCACACGCATACGTGTTCACACACACACACACACACACACACACACACACACGCACGCACACACACACACACACACACCTCTTGTCGTGTCTGTGTGTGTCGAGGGTATCGCGAGCCCAGACGGCCGCCCCGTCGATGGAGTCATAGCGGCGGTTGTAGAAGCAGAAGTTGTCCGAAAGCTGCCAGCAGCGAACAAACCACAACAACAACAACAAACACGCACATACACAAATGAGCAGAGCCGTGGTGGACTGTAAGTTCACGGCGTCAGTCGTAAATACACACGCACATGCAGAAGCAGACACATCCACATTCACATTCACACACACACACGCACACACCTCTCTGCGAACAACGGCCTCCTCGATAAACGTCTGCACGCCCTTTGCGGCCTTCTTCGAGTATTTGCTCTTCAGCAGCAGCACCACCGCGGCTGCACTAATCTGCCCAAAGTGGAAGTAAGGCGACAGGTTCGAGCACACGTCCTCGTTTGGGTTGTTGCGCAGCTCGTCAAACTTCTTTGCTCGGTCTCGCCCAAATGCCTCCGCAGCAGCCATGCCTTGTTCATAACCAGGCTCAATCCAGTCCACCTGAGCGATGTGTGTGTATGTGTGTGTGTGTGTGTAAGTGAAAGAGAGGGTGCGAGCAGCGAAGACAAGCGCGCAAACAGCAGCGACCTCACACACACCCGCACACGCAC